AAACTCACCGTGAACAGAAGGTATAAAAAAACCTAGTGTACTCACCGTGAACAGATGGGGTGAAAAACCTAGTGTACTCACCGTGAACAAAAGGAATGAAAAAACTCACCGTGAACAGAAGGTATAAAAAAACCTAGTGTACTCACCGTGAACAAAAGGAATGAAAAAACTCACCGTGAACAGAAGGTATAAAAAAACCTAGTGTACTCACCGAGAACAGAAGGTATAAAAAACCTAGTGTACTCACCGTGAACAGATGGGGTGAAAAACCTAGTGTACTCACCGTGAACAAAAGGAATGAAAAAAATCACTGTGAACAGAAGGGATGAAGAACCTAGTGTACTCACCGTGAACAGAAGGGATGAAAACCTAGTGTACTCACCGAGAGCAGATGAACACCACCAAGAAGTGTCTGGTCATCTCTGGGTGTTCTCCTCAGTGACCTACCTTCTTTTTTTATTATTTAATGTAAGCTTTTGTCTGTTTAAATTCGCGTGGTTGTGTTTAAAAGGTTTAGTTTCCACTGCTCACTGTGTGTTCCTCAAAGAGGTTATAAATCATATATAGGCAGCGTGGTGAAATCTGGCGCTCGTCAAAATAATGAAATTGATTTTAAAAAAGTGATTTTCCGTCCGTTTGGCAATTTTATCTTTTTTTTTTGTTTTGGCTAAATAACATTTATGTCAATTAAAAAACACACATTTATGTGAGGATTTTACAGAAAAACATTGATTGAAGGCGCAAACAATAAAAACATTTCATTTTCCCAGATCTCTCCAGCTATGGAATTCATCAAGCTTTGGCTGCCATTTTCTCTCCGTTTTTACCATTGGAACCAGGCGACCCCTACCTCCTTCACTCCTTCAGTCGCAAATATCTTGACGTGTATTGAAGATAGATGGTTACTATTTCACTGAAAGTGGTGAAAGCAAGACTACAGAACAAGCTTTAATATGATACGTATAACATAATATGCCCAAATATTGACAAGCGCCTGATTCCACCATGTCGTGACTAGTCATAATATGTGAGATGTGCTGACAAAATGAATTACTTCTCGCATTCCATAAAAATATGGAGATATGTCGACCAAAAGTCGACACTTAGGTCAATTTTGTAGATTTTTCTGTTAATGCCATATCCTTTAGATATAAGTATAACAGTGATTTATTATTTCATACTTATAAATTGTAAAAACTTCAGCTATACTCGTGATGTATCTATTTCTTTTAAAGGCTTGAATCTGAGAAGTTAACTCATTTTGTTAGCCCGTTTCACGTATTATAACACACCTCTTTGTGTTCCTCCTATTTAGCTCGTGTTTTTATGTGCTCTACACTAGGGCTGTACCCCGGTAGCAAACCCGCTCGTGCTCACAAGCCCCTAGTTCAAGTCACAAGCCT